TTCGTCGAGTCCTGGTTCATTTGCCGTGTCCCATCGGTGTGCAACACCAACCGTGGCCCCCAGCCGGACGTTTACGGGGACGTGTGTGATAAGTAGACTGGTCGACCTCACCTCATTTGTGTCAGTGTTTACTGAAGATGCCACCTGCATAGGTGGCGAAACGTCTGTACCTTTTGTTATTAATTTGTTATGTTAAGTCGGAGTAAACCTTTTCAATCAGGTCCTACATCGTTCTGATCTTTCGTGCCATATTTGGTGGCATATCAAAGCCTCAGTAACCGATTTCCTAAGCTTGGCGAAAGTCCTGTTTTCCAGTATAGATGCATATGACTCGCCTAACGTCGCTTGGAACTTCCAGTAACTAGTCTCGAAGTTTAAAATCCTATAGCCCCATGTTTTTTTTAATTACTGCGCATAGTTCACATGGCTTACTTGATATTAGGAAGCGAGTTCCTACATTTTAAATAACGTGAACTCGTGTTTAAATTTTTGTCGCTGGACTGGGCTCGGAAGCGTTGCTCTCACTAACAAGAGTTCTTAGAAAGTGTGTGTGTGTGTGTGGGGGGGGGGGGGGGGGGGGGGGGTGAGCAACATAACAACCTTATGGCTCTAACCTACCACATAAATGAGGGAAAATAACCTTTTTATGACCTATACATGTATGTTGAAGCACATTTTAGATATTTACAAAAAAAACAAAAAAACGCTAACAGGGTTTGAATTTATATTTCTGCGTCAAAATCCAAAAATCCAGCCACCTGCAAAACCGGAATTTCTCCCGCTAGACGACTCAGAAAACCCCTACATTCAGCGGGAAATCCGCTACATTGGCAACACTGCTCGAGACTAATCGGCCAAAAAAAAAGGAAAAAAAGAAAACAATTTGCGAAACATTTTTGCGTGTTTTGTTCCCGAAGAATAATACATCGTCACTAAAAGAGATATGTGAGCTTTCGTCTTTCAATGCAGGTTTATAGAAAATGTCCAATTCACGTGGATTCAGAAACAATGATGCCAATCTTTTTAAAAGAATCTGGAAATGGGCAAGTTGGTACATCTTAGATTAGAAAAAAGCCAGAAAACAAGGACAACAGCAAGAAAGAAAAGCGCATCGTTTCGTCTATTCTTTCTGTTGTCCTTGTTTTCTGGCGCTTTCCTAGTCTAACAATCTTTTTAACACTGTCTAATTAGAAAACAAAGAAAAAAATCACGTTTTCTTTGTTAGTGAATAATGATATATGATTTTGGTTTGTGAAGGGTGAATATCTACACAAATCTAGGAATTATAAAAATAAAAATATTAAAAAAAATAGATATGTACGAATACTTGTTCAAATTGAATAGCTAAGTGTCATCCCTAGCTTTAAGAAAACTGGTTGTGGTGGTTTTTCCTTCCGCTGGGAAAATTATGCATGACACAGTGCTAAACGATTTGAACCGGTATGCGCATAGCCCTAAGAAAACCTTGTTTTTCGGTTCTCCTTTAAATAAAACCCAATTTGGTAAACACGAACAGTTCATGCAAGAAGCTGACTCAAAAATATAAAGTAAAAAATGATTGAGCTCTTTCAGCTTCTTGATGTACACACTATTAAAGTAACTTGTTCTTCCCGTGACGGTTCAGTCACGAGTGATGGAGCATCCTTTTCGAAAAATAGTAGAACTTTAATTTCCTAAAGGTCCCGCAATAATCCCTCATTCCAGGCACCATTTAGGCAGACACCTCACTTTTAAGGCGCTTCGCTGGACAGCTAAAAAAACTGGAGTGTTATAACTCTGTGGTTATATCAAATAACCACCTCATGAAGACGGAAAGTTTCCGGTGCCAGTAGCATTAAGGCAAGTCTTGAATTCTTACTCCAGACTTATTGAAAATGAATTGTTACAACTATGATTTTATTCCTCGTAATTGCAGGACAGATATTTACGGAGTGTAATATATATAACTAAATCTACAGTAAAACTAGAAACAAAATACACTGAATAAAATAGCCTTCGTGGTTTGCTGGTATGGCACACTGAAGCTTCGGGGAACTTACCTGAGCAGCAGGCGATGTAAAGTCCGATGCCGATTTCTTGATACTCATTGAGAACCTGCCATCAAGTGTAAATAATAAAAGATACTTGATAAATTATTCTCCGATTCGCGACAACGGAAGTTAGAGTGACCGTAAGGGTAACTCTAGCAGGGGGTTAGCTTTGAAAAAATGTGACACGGGTATTCAACACCCAACGTGAGAAATCACTGCGCTCTAAAGATTCACTCTTGGTTCGAGTTTCGTGTTACAGACTTGAGAGCTTTAGACGTAAGGTATCCATCTGTAGACGGTAATACCTTAATACAATGGTGCGAAAGCTCTACATACATTAAATATGGAGACAGCAAGAACTCTGCGCTTAAGAATCGCGTAACTGATGTCTTCTCGATATGTACTATACACACGCACCAAGAAACGTTCTTTCCTCACTTGGAAACATGCTAAAGCAGACCCTTCAATTAAGGAAAACACAAGGTATCAGTAAACCTATCAAGTCAATGAACTGCGTCAAGAAGTTTGGAAAGACTCCTCATAGCATAATTCAGACTAACAAAGAACAAATTAACACTTTGATATAACACACGCGCAAATCGCTAGGAGTACCTTTTACGAAAATTAAGATCGAAATACCTACATAGAAGAACAAACTTAAGAGATGTTGGTAGAAATTAAAAAGGTGTTCAGTAAAGTAAAAATAACGGCGATTTGTTTTTTTTAGTATCAGCAATCAGCAGTTTCACTTGATACCGTTTTTCTTCTTATCATACTCAATTACATATGAAAAAAAAAAAAAAAAAAAAACGGAGCGTCTATTTGAGTGCCAGGCGCCTTATTATCCCTCCGCAGGCACTGATATTGTTTAATGTGCTCATAAGAACACCGAAGATCGAATCGCGAAGCGAAACGCGCGAGCACAATACATGTCTTGCACTGATGTCACGTCTGTCGCCGCTGCTCGGTATACCAGGCTCCTGTGTACCTTGTCTGCAGCATCCATTTGGCATCATCGAATCTGTTCTTCTCCGCAAGGCTTGCAATAAAGAACAAATTCGATGTTGAGAAATGTATGCTGCAGAAGGTACGAGGCACATGAGCACATGCTACGGAGCTGTCGCGGCTGGTACGGTGCCGTGTGACATCACATGCAAGACATGTATAACCCACGTCCTGCGTTTCTGGAGCTGTCAGCGACCCTACGTACTACTGGAACCATATGCACGACAAAGACGTGTCCGCAAGGTGCGGGCACGGCATACCTGCTTGAAGACAATGGCACTAGAGCCGTCGATGAAGGTCACCCGAGAGAAATCGAGGATGATGTGGTCAGGCAAGTCTTCTTGCGAAGGTTTCCCTTCGGACGTGCCGTCCCAAGTCGTTTGGGTGCTAACGCTGTTCATGCTGCTCGACGGACTGCTCGTCGCGGAGACGGCCAGTACTTCGGAGCTCGAAGTAGTCTCGTCGGGGTTGAGCTGCGCGAGCGGGTCGCTACGCATGAATCGCCGGAAAGAGTCGTTTGGACGCACATAGATTTCGCTCGATGCCTATGGTCCGTTTCACTAACACGATGGAACGCAGCGAATGCTACGAGTCATCAGAGTCACAATGCGAAGCGCAAGTTCGTCTGCTTCTTTTAAGCAGTTGTGGTTAAGTCAGACCGCCGAGCTCTGTTTGTCTCCGATTGAAGGATAGTGGGTAGACCTCAAAGCAGGTTGTTTTGAGGCCTACCCACTATCCTACAATCAGAGCCAATCAGAACTCGGTGTCGTTCTGACGTCACAGCAGCCTCTGGACAAGAAGCAGACGACTCGCTCTCCGCATTACCTGACACACGGCCTTAGATTGGATTCGATGGCCAGTAGCGCCCCCTCCGGTCTATCGCAAGGCGAAACGGATAATAGAGGACGGCATGCGAAATGCAGTTCTCAACATACTTGACAGTGTCCGTTTACCGGAGCTTAAACGAAGCCGCTGCAATGCGGGGCACATGAATAGGAGTTTACAGCCGCCATCAGAATGCTACTACATCACGCAAAAAGATAGTCTGAAGACATGATCTGAGGCGCGTCACATCCTTGTAGGTCTGTCCTGCCACATCCGTCACGCAAACACTGCCTGCAGGCATATTCGAAGTGCGCACACGTTTAAAAGGAACACGTTTCGAATGCACTTGAAGCGTGTCGGCAGATTCTTCTTCAGCTATGCCTGCTGCAGTGTCTTTTGCATGACGTAGGAGCAAAGCGACTGCTGCGGCTTATGCTTTCTGAATGAACTTCAAGCTTCGTAATCCACAAACGTTTGAAGCAATACAACCCTCAATCTTTTTGTAAGCACAAGCACTCCCCACCCCTTTTCCCCAAATCCCAAAAGCTTTTTCTGTCCTTCCGTCCGTCTGTCTGCTTGTGCATTTTCCGCTAAATTTAGCCGGGAATGTGGTGTCATGTGACCTATACATTTTAGGGAAACTAACGGCATGTGGCATATACGTCAAGTCAATTTCCCGTTAAATTTAGTGGGGAAATTTACGTCTTTTGGCCAAGGCATCGATTCAGTTTTCCCGCTAAGTTTAGAAGGGAAAGCGACGCCACGTGACCAATGCACCAATTCAGTAACTCGCTATATTTAGCGGTGAAAATTCGCGTCTTGTGACCCAGACACCAATTTAGTTTCCACGCTAAATTTAGTGGGGCAAATCGACGTCACCTGACCTCACGTGACGTGACCTATACGACTATTTATGCTTTTCAACGCACTAACTGTAATTTTGACCACTCAGTTTCCCCGCTAAATTTAGCGGGAAAAATATGTCACGCGACACACCAATTTTCTCACCAATTTCTTATAATGCATCTCATGTATTATTGAGCTTTGAAGAAAAATGGTTGCTACCAATGTATTAATTTTTTTTAAGCTGGAAGGTGATTTACTTTTTTTAAAAATATTCATTAGGTTTTATGTAGACTATCATGCAGTCATGCGAAAAAGCCTGAATATACAAACACGAAAAAGTGATGGGGTCCTGTCTGCATTTTTCTTCCGTGCTGCAATCACCTTTCTAGAAAGCAAATGAAAATGGAAATGGTTAACGCACGTAAAATAATAAAACACACTACAATGACCGACTGAATTAAATTGTGATTTCGAAGAAGTTCACAAGATATAACAAATCGGAAGGCATTCCGGAGACGAGGAAGAAAGAAAATTGAGACACTTACCATTCCCTAAAATTGTAAATGAGGCATACATTGCTTTTACTAAACTATCGACGTGCACTATTGAACGTGTGATAGGAGTGCGTTCGAAACTTTAGAGGGGGCGTTGGAATTCAAGAGGGCGCTGAAGTCGATATTGAGATCGCCCGTTTGTGGTGACAACTCAGTCTAGACGCTCTAACCATCCCAAGACATCCGAAACCACAACCATGCGCAGCTTATTTCCTTGTTAAAAAGCGTGTTCAAAAATCGCGACCCGCCCTTTTTGGGAAGAAGTTTCTGCCAAGTGAAGTGGTCGACGAAGGGCGCTCGTCGGCTACTTGCAAGCGATGGCTTCGCTCTCGCTTGCAAAAAGAAAAATAGTCTTATCCGATTGTGTACGTACCTATCAGACCCTTCAAAACGAGTTATAATAGAATCATTCGGAGTTTGCGCGTATTGTAGGGCTTTCATTGGTCCACACAATTTAGTCCGCGAGAAAAATAAAAGTCCACATATTTTTCTATTGCCCTGAGATGGAATAGGCGGTTATGTAATATAGGACTGGATACATGTTGGAACTAACACATTTTAACGAATATAAGATCAAAAACGACCTTTTTTCAAAAATGACTTCAGTGCCCCTTTAAACAGGCGTTCCGATGACAAGACAATGCCAGAACCAGTAACACATAATAAGTCCGTCGGGTGGTAGACACCTTAAATTTGAAATTATACGAACCTGACAGAAACCAGCGTCCGGCGTGACAATTCCGCCCTGAAGAATTCGGCGTTGGCAAAATGCAGAGGTCCGCCGAAGTGGAATACCTTAATTCCACCTATTTCTTTCGCCTTCAAAGTTAAAAATTAAGGAAAAAAAAGGAGAAAAAGAAACTGGAATAAGTTGGTTTCAAAAAGGAAGTGCTGAAAACAGCCAGTGACAGCGACGAACGAACATTTGTAGACATCTGAGATAATCACTGTCAGCCTAAGAAACGTAGAGTTTGGCGAGTTTTAAGCCTCTAATTATCACTTACCAGCCAATTAGATCGTGGCGTTATAAAATAGCAACGTGGAAGAAGAAATAATTAAGCCAAAAGAGCGAAGATAATGAGCCTCGGCCTGAATTTATTAAATGGTCAGTGTGTATAGTTACACTGCTTCATATTAAAATATTTTTGAAATAGCTGATTTTTTTTTAGGGTTCTAGTAAGCCAATGTTATCTTTTGAAGGTACAGGATGGACGTAGATTCACTCCACTTTAATCTTTGTGAATATAACGTTGACTGACAACGTCGAATCGCATCCAAAATAAAGGCATAAAACTCTTTTTTTTTTATCGCGTAGTAACCAGACCTATAGAATGTTTTCAGAGTGTTTCTTACCACTCCATACTTCTTGAGGGGTACATAGTAATCCGTGTTGGGGATGTGGCCCAGGAGACAGGTCTTAGGCCTAGAGTAGTCGAAGAAACGTTTTTTAGTGTTATATTTCCTCGCTTTTGCAGTCAGTGCATTGATTTTGTAGTTTAGAGTTAAATCTGAACATAAATATACACGGAGTTCCCAAGAGAAGAGAACCGCATTTTTCGGGTCGGGAAAATAAACTGTGCTTTGCAGAAAGCTCAAACTCCGTGAGAACGTCACGCTAATGGTTCGGATAGAACGCGAAAGTTTGAGAACATAATGTTACTTAGATTAAAAAAAAAAAAAAAAGAAATATCGAGGAAAGCAAAATTTCTATACGAACCTACGTCCACCTAAGCATACTTGTGTCATAACGAGAAATGTCATTGTGGGCGCCTGTAGCCTGTATTTCAGTTACACAGAACTTGTAAGTAAGAAATAAAACAATATCCCCTTTCTTACTGACACGTGGATTCCAATGATATAAATCCCCCAAACGTCCACAATGTCGAGTTCTGTTCTGATTATACTAGGCTTAGGTGGACGTCGGCTCATAAAGAAATTATTTATTTTTCTCAGTTATCCGATTATCCAGGTAGCGTCTCGCTCCCAAATTTTCGCGTACTATCCCAACTGCTAGCATCACATTTTCACGGAGTTTGATGTTTCTGCGATGCGTAGTTTATTTAACCGGGCCAAACAACATGATTCTTGTTTCTCGGGAACTTAGTGTATTTTGAGATGGTGTCCGATAATGATGCTATCTTCGCTGAGAAAGCAAGATACGCAGGGCGTGTGTTATTTAATTCACACATTTTGCATCGTGATTTATTTTCTGGTTTTCTTATCGGACAATGACCGAGTCCCATTGTCTGCGGAGAGATAAGAAGGTGCTTATGATTGGTTACACCTTGCGTTTCGTATAGACGCTTTCAGCGAGTCAGTTACTCGAGCTGCCACCAGTCGGCGCGCCCTTCGCGCGCTTTCCGGGCCGCCATAGCCGACCTTCATTTTCTCGCTGTTGCTCCGCGTTGTGTGCTGCCGGAGCTTCGTTTTCGTGTTCTTTTACGTTCCGCGTTAACATCTTGTATTTTCAATAGGTCTTTTCGATATTTAGGATTTTCATTTCATATTTATATTTTGAGATAGCTCTTGTATTTTCTTATTTATGGTATGGAATCGGGCAGCGAATGGGTCGACGATACAAGATTATGAGGCTTCAATGACCATGTAAGTTCATCCGATTCTTACGTTTTTGTCGCTAATAAAGGGCAACCAACACTATTGCGACATATGTAAATTGCAACTCACGCAGTAAGGCTATCACAGTCGGGCTTTTCGCTGCATGTACGCGCTTGTTTCCGTAAAGCCGACCCGCATGTAAGCGATTTAACGTGCGACGAGACAAGCGACGGAGATTTCTCACCGTCCGCCCGTCGCATCGCTCGGTTTTGGGATTTCTAGAAAACGTCGCTCACCGTCTTGACCACTTGCTCCGTCGCTTTTATGCGGTTTGCCTCGTCGCGCAACTGACTGAGCGACAACGAGGCGGGTCGCCGTCGCTTATCTGGTTGCTCGCCAAATCGCTAACATGCGGTTTATACTCAATTAATTTCCATGCACACAGCATTGAACCATTGGCGCCTCGATATTAAGTATAAACCGCATGCAAGCGATTCGGCGAGCAACGAGACGAGCCACAGTGACCCGCTTCGCTGTCGATCGGCCAGTCGCGCGACGAGGCAAACCGCATGGAAGCGACGGGAGCAAGCGACCAAGACGGTGAGCGACGTTTTCTAGAAACTTAAAAAACCGAGCAATGCAACAGGCGAGAGTGAGAAATCTTCGTCGCTGACTCTCGTCGTTGTCGCCGTCGCTCGTCTCGTCGCACGCAAAATCGCTTACATGCGGGTCGGCTTTACGGAAGCGAGCGCGCACATTCAGGGAGAAGCACGACTGGATCGCCTTACTGCGCCAGTTCGAATTTGCATATGTCGCAATGGTGTTGACTGCCCTTTATTAGCGAGAAAAATGTTGGAATGGGATGAACACATGGTCTCTGAAGCCATATTCTTGTATCGTCGATCCATTCGCTGTCCGATTCCATTTCATTAATAAGAAAATACAAGAGCTATATTGAAATATAGATATCAAATGAATAAATGAAAGCCCGAAATATCGAAAAGACATAAAGAAAACACACGATTTCAACGCGGACCGTAAAAGAACGCGAAAACAAAGCTCCGGTGCAGCACATAACCCGGAGGAACGGCGAAAAACTGAAGGGCGGCTATGGCGGCAGGGTCACGTGACGTCAAGATGGCGGCGCCCATGAATTGTTGCCTGAAAGGGTCTATAGTTTTCAGTGACCGTAACTGATTAAAAAATATACCGGGTGTTTTTTTTTTTATTCTTGCAGATTTGTTTTAAAGAAAACCATGAAACCTACACTTACGCGGTTTGTGCGAGTGAGTTATACGCCCAGAGGGGCATTATGGGGTGGCTAATCTTTGCAACAAGTCGGAAAATTAATTAAAATTCACTAATTAGCTTTTTAATTAGTGAAAATAGACATATGGTTCCAATTAGAAACTTACTGAGCGTTATCGAAAACCACTAAATCAGTCATTTTCAGAAAGACAGTTAGCGCGTGAGAAGCGTAGTAGTGCACTAAGGTTATTACTTGTGGAGCAGGTACAAGGCTGTGGTTTCGGTAAGGCGCCCGCGCAATTTCTCCGTCTCTTATCTAGCCCCAGCCTTGTACCTGCTCCACGAGTGGTAGCTTCAGCGCACTACTGCGCTTCTCACGTGCTTAAACTCTTTTTAAATTTACTGATTTAAGGGTTTTGGACGAAGCTCAGCAAGTTTCTAATTCGAACCACATGTTTATTTTCACTCATTAAAATGTTAATCAGTGAATTTTAATTAATTAGCCGACTTATCGCAAAGATTAGCCACCTAAATAATGTCCCCCTGGGCGTATAACTCACTCGCACAAACCGCATAAGGTTAGCTTTCATGGCTTTTTCAAAAAGAAATCTGTAACGAAAAAAAAAAAAAAAAAAACCACCCGGTATATACGGTGCATTTGATGCATTGTTGCATCAAAAAACCGATTTAAGTCAATTTCGCCTACATTTGTTTTACCTCCGTCTATTTTTATTGCAGAAAAACAATTATAATGAAAAAAATATTTTTTTTTCTTCTGCACCTTTTTTGCGTGAAATATTAAACAGTTGATGGATATAAGATTTAGGCACCAAACTTCATGATACAACCAAATCTGATTTTTGAATGGCTTTGCAGTGAGACAATGGTCTGGCTTTAAAGTAGCGCGCATCCTCTACACGGTAAAGGTAGTTTATTGCGGCAAACATAGCCCATAAAGGGTGTAGCTAATAAGTACCATTGACGTTTTAGAGCAAACCAGAGCCAGTCGAAAAAACTTACCGGAAGAACAGATCAAACCTGGTACCTAACAGGCATTTGTAATTTTATAACATGCGCACGACGGCTACCTCCTACTTGCTTTGTCTAATCAACTCATACTGGATGGGGTAGCTTCTGTGCTAAATAAGAAAAGATTACGATTGATGGAAGTTAAAAAAAACCTTTTGGTATAGATGCCGTCAAGCTAACTGTTGCTTCAACTGAAAGCTCAATCACGTGTACAAAATGTGAATTCGTCCCATGCAGGCTCGCAGAAAAAAGTCATGGGAAGACTTGCAGCGTCCTCTAGCGAAGCTGCAAAGTGTTTTGAGAAATAGGTGTAGAGAACCGGCTGTAGCAGACGACGGAGGCGACGGAGTGTACGTAGGTAAACGGGCGAAAGTGGGAAAATAACTGTACTGACCCTTCTATCGTTTGCGGCCCAGTATCACATGATTAATTCCGCAGAAACTATCAGGAGTGTACTGCGGGTTCCCACTGTTCACTTCGAGTATCGCCCCCGCCTTTCTGGTATTTTTGAAATTTTTTTTTCGCTGTTGGGCAACATCTTAACGCTCGGGTGTATCCTAATATGAAGCAATCGAGTGAAGGCCTGAAATTACGTACTTAAACACGCGAATACCATGAATGCTGACTGCGGTGAAACTCGCCTTTGAATTTTGTAGACAAGTGTGAGTAGTGAGAAGACCACCCCGATAACCAGGCCCAGCTGAACTTCGAGGATGATAGTTGAGAAAAATGTCACCAGCCACACGTACTGTGCAAGAGACAGGGCACAATGTAAAAATCTGTCAAAATAAATAGTGAATGAACTAGATAATGCAACACTCATACACGTAACCTTCCGCGTATGAAATTGGAAAATTGTCAGCCTAGGGGCCACCGAAGGTTGAAATTTCAATTTTGGATGTGCACATCATGTGGAAGACATTATGCAGATTGTCACAGACGCATAAAACACTAACACAGAAACAAATTGGGGTGATCGCTCCTCCCCCATACATTTTTTAAAGACGACTGAAACCCCCCACCCCCATCCTCCCCTTTTATAAAACAAACCTACTGACGTCGAGTTGAGCTTACTACTGACGTCGAGTTGTTTAGTCTCTTTTAAAATGCTGAATAAATGCGAAATACTGATGAGCACTCGCTAGGGTGTTGTCTTATTAGATTTCTTTTCTTCTTGCTGTTCATTCCGTCTATGTGTAATCCACATGAAGCCTTCGAACTGTTTCGGACGACAATAACGTATAAATTGATTTATTGACTTATTTGTGTACAACTGGGTTTTAGCAGGAAATAAAGGGTTAAACGAGAAAAATATGTATCGGTACAATAGTGACAAAACGTACAGGGATTAGAAAGGAATAAGGATAAAAACATTGCTGAACTAGAACTACACTGTATAAAAAAAGGACCCTCCACGGAGCGAAATTATTCTAAAGGGGAACACATGTATTGCTATTAATGGCAAATATATTTAAGCAAACTTACTCCATCGATTTTAGAAAACTTCCAGAAATTAATGAAATCCCGGACTTGCATAAACACTTTTTTCAGAGACACAAAGATGATTGCAGCCAGAACCGCCTAAAGAGGAAGGACGGAAGGACAAGATATATTATTTGTAAATTAACATTTGCCAGGTCAAACAGCGACTTCACAGGTTTGAACAAAGAACACGCATAGATTACTAAAACTACCCTTTTAGCTAGAAATGTATGAAGTGAACAGTAGAAACAGAGGTGATTCTCTCGTTTTGATGAAGACATTTGCTTTTTTATTTAAGCTTTATCGTAGAAAGCAAACGGCAAGTGTTGATTGGGTAATAGAGTAAAAAAAGTGTCTTACCACTGGCAGTTTCTCTAAGTAGCTCCCAAGATACAAAAGTACAATGGCAATCAAAGCGGAGTTGATGAGGCTGACGAGCTGAAAAGACAACAAAAAGGTAAGCAATATGGTGGAGGGCTTTTGACACCATGTTTCAGATGCAACTTTAAAACCTGAATTGCTATATTTACGTTGCCTACTGTGTTTTAATAAAGCAATGATCAGACCAAAACATTATACGCGAAAGCCTCACCTGAGTTCTACCGCCCACGTTGTCTTGAATTGAACTGCGTGGCACGGACGCACCAGATGGTATACAGCCGAAGAAGGAGCCGAAGAGATTAGACATCCCCAGTGCCAGAAATTCCTACGACATTCAGACAGTAAAATAACGCTAAGAGACGACGTATTGAATGAAGATACTTAGACGTTACCCTGCGGAAAGGTTCCTAGGAGTGCGAGGAAAAACAAGAATTCTGGAATACCTTAAAATTCACAAGAGTAATACAGAAGGTTCTGAGAATGGGCAATGATCCAGGTATATCACCGTTTAGGCTTCATATCACTAACGGATTACACCAATCACGTGGCTCCACTACAGCGATAAATTAACGACACCCCATTTATTGATGAAGAGTTAAAATAAAAGCATTCAAATATACCAAAAATATGGTGCTGTACAAGAAATCTTCTTTCAAAGGGTTAAAAGTTTCAGATATCTAAGCTGGAATTACTAACGGTCAATAACGGCGGCTTAGCTTGATTCAAGCATATGGCTGTTTTTATTTGACACTTCGCGGTGGATGAATTTGTGGAGGACCCTATTCGTCACCTGGACAAACCTTTAATTGGTAGTTTGTTTTTCTTTGAAATAATATATTGGCACGAAATAAATATTCTAAGTGTTATACTGTTAATTCGTTGTCATAACATTGCTAGGGGTTAATCCTGTACCACACCTTAATTGATGCTAAGCACATCCTATGGATAACATTGTTGATATCTGGGGAAATTTGCCAACAAACCTATTTTCTTGAAATTATAGTAAAATTAGTTGAAAACCAAATATTTCTTTACGGAGTATTATGTTATTTTCCCCCAATACGTGTCATTGTATTGTCACTAAAAATGGTATTTACGTTGAAGGCACTGCATACATGCCTTGCTGTGCAGCCTGCTTAGAAGAGCCAAAGGGAAGCGAGGGAAACTAAGGAAACCTAAGCAGAACCATCGATATATGATACTCTACTCTACGAATGTCTTAAACCCCGGGATGGCATATTTCAAAATGTCCATGGCCCAAACGTTTGCTACGATTCATATAAGAGACGATTGAGGTTGAGACGAAGGATATGGGAAGGCGTAATCATGTTGATAGATGACCAGAACGTTGCACCTGCTTATGGTACCGGTACGTATAATAGCCACCAAATATTTTTTTCAGAATCGCCCATTTAGTCGCTTTGATAATTTGGGGCTCATCATTGTTCTCCTGCTTACGGACACTAAATATGCAGGTGCGACAAACCTGAGATATGAAGCGAAAAACTGAAGGCGACTATGAATTGACTTCACCTGGTTGGGCGCAATCTCGTCACCATGACGCCTAGCAAAGATGCGACCCAAAGACACAGTTATGGCGAAGCTGACCAAGGCGATTGTCAGGGCAGATACAGCAACCTTGGACACCAAATCAACTCGGAGGTCAGGCACCGCCGGCGTAGGGAAACTGTGAGAGAAAAACAAAATACACAAAATGTCCACTCAAAACATGAAGGCACTCGGAGCATTGTCACAGATAGCATAACGAACGTAGGGCGTGGCGAGTTCTGCGCAACTTATCATCGCTTTGCAACCAACAAGATTTGGCATTAGACAATAAGAACGCCAGGGGACGAATCATGAGATAAGAAGTGTGAACATAATGGGCCACATCCTACAATTTTGAAGCTGACAGTGACTGTAATAGCAAGAAGATTCAAGGGAACCTACAGAAAGCCTTAGAGTTGAAGTCATCCCGAGGACCCTACGATGTTTGTTATAGAGCAGAACGGTAACCGTGGACGTCATAAAAGATTCAGGGCGCTTTAATACTCACCTGCCCACATGCTATATTCCTTAAAATAGGGGGTGCTCTAGTGTCGAGCCTATACACACAGCAGCTGCAAACAGACACACGAAAAGATGGGGTTGTTATGCTTGAGCGTGACTCCACACCTGGAGCCGAGCATTAAATTGCTAAAAAGTGTATTAGGTGAAGTTTTAAACCGTGGGCATAAGATTGAACATCGCTTTGACACAGCAGGACATTCAGACCGTGTTACGGGTATCGGCGGACGACTCCCTTAAAGGAACTTCGCAGCTTAAGTGAATACAAAAGTTACTCTAATCTCCCGAATGAAAGTGACTGAGACAAAATATGTTTTTTTTTGTTTTATCTTGTAAAAATGGGGAAACAAACTTGTGCAGGTTATTGTTTAAATAGTCCTTATATCAGTATATATTCGTATAACTATATCAATGTGTGAAGCAGTTTAAAACACCCAGGGCCACAATCGTGTATGAATCACTGACAATATTGCACCTTAACTGCTGAGGCACATATGCCGTCATATTTCAGTACAGGTAATAAACAGCTGATGTTAAAGAACTATGAATACACATTTTTTTAAATATGTGGTGTCACTCAATTTTAAGCGGACTCACACATCAGGAATGTCGTCAATGACATCAAATCCTTTATCTTCTAGGTTGAGGTAGCGAGAAAGGAGTGTTCCTGCGATTACCTGCAGAGAGAAAGAAAGGCGCATTCACATTGTCTCACCATAAAACACTAGGTACAAGCTTATGTTTTACAAAAATTTATAGTTAATGTTATGATGTAATTAAAAGCAAACCTTCGGCTGTAAGTGTCAAACTGGATCTAACAACTTTGCAGTGGTTGCAGGTTCGTACAAAGGTGTCCAGTGATGTTCTTTAGTTATCAACAAGCAAATATAATATCTTGCGGCTGCGATATCAACCCAAGTAGTTGACCAAATTTCTTCGGATAAGGTAACGAACTTTCGTGTTTTCGAAGCCTTTTTTTATGTATATTAATGCGCGCAGATAGGTGAAACAGATGCTAAGCCGCTAAAATTTCATGAACAATTTAATAAATATAATTTTTCGGTGCCACTTCATTTGTAGGTACTGAGATAGATACGAACGTAGACACTTATGAGAATGTGGTATATCAGGTGCGATCGGAGAAGTTTAAGCAATCAAACGGAGCCAACTCCGTACCCGCTTGATGGAGTTACATGCACATCCACAATTCTGTTTTGCTCCACCGTTCTCGTATTTAAGTGATTATTTTTTTATTGATATCGTGTGTTTTAATCGGGTGAAGCGAAATGCCGCCTGCAATAGTTCAACCCTAGCGAAAAAATAAAAGCTTGACGCAAGTTCTTGTAAACGAAACACCACCATTACCGCTTAGACCAACCATATGCGGGTTACCCCTGCATCTATATAAGCGCAAAAAACAGTATCGGTACACTGCGCACCAGACCTGAAAATGGAATATCTTGTAGTTGCCAATTTCATGTATTTCCGATTAAGCCGATGTTTCCGTAACACAATGTTTATTAAGATTGTTCAGTTTTTGTTGGGCAACTTGTGATGGTACACTACAGTCATTCAAAACAACGTGCATAAACCTGCTGATGTATAATATGACCAGCTAGATTTAAAAAAAAAAATGTAAGGCCAGAAAACAGGTAAGTAAAAAAGTAACGAAATAAATAATAAAAAGTATGCTTACATTAAGAGCCAGCAAATTAGGAATCAATGTTAACAACATTTTACAACTGCCCAAGAGAATTTAGAATGTATATGCAGACTTTTGAAACAAAACGTAGCGCAACCAGTTGAAGGAGATGGTAAGGAGGTATCCCCCTTACCGGAGACCCCTTTTTGTGCATCAATCACGTAGTTTTTTGGGCGAGTCGGAGATTAGCCTCCAAGTCAAAATTCGCCCAAAAGGAGATTTACCCTGTCTCCCGCCCATAACCTGAACTTCGCTATGTGAAACTAGTGAAAAAGAGTATAGTTAAACATCCCTCTATGCAGATTACGCTGTTTCAGAAGCTATTGCAAAAATACATAATTTTATTAGCGGTGGTATTAGTGGTCACGACTAGTGCTGCTATGCAGGAACAAGGCTTACCAAGATCATCTCAGTTGGAATGGGCATCCTGATTTTGCGCTCAACGAAAGGGTCAACCGCCAGCTTGATAAGGAGCAGCAGAAAAACGCAGCTGGAGGACAGGCCCAAGGTGGGGAGGTGCGTCGTGTTTATCTTCCCAAAGAAAGAGATGTAAATCTAAAAAAAAGAGAAAAAAAAGAGCGCCCATTATTGTTTTTGTTTCCGGTCAAAGCTTGATTTGACCCAATATTGGACGTCCTACATGCGTCAATCAATATAAGCTGAAACACAATTGCTCTTCTAGAAAGAGAGAGAAATTGTTGTTTAATGAGAGGTCGTTTTTGACCTATATCGCTAAATGAACCCTATACAGAATCTTACGAGACGTATCAGACAATATTTTATTGGGAATCGATTACTGATTGATCATAGATTAATCGCAGATAAATCACGAATAAACCACTGACATATCACGGATAAACTACAGATCAGCCAGAAACCAGTCATATCTAACAGCAGCTTTCGAAGATCCAATCAACGAGTGTTGCACATTATGCATGAAGTAACCACCCCTCCCCCCCTCCCCCATCAAAAAAAAAAAAAAAAAAATCTTTGCGGTTTTGACATTGGGGAGTTATTCTTGCAATGGCATCGATGCACGATTGCGCTTCCTCAACGTCGTATGCAGACAAAAATTAAATCATACAATTGAATTCCATTTTCCAGAAGCTTAAGATATGCGTTTTCAATTGGTATTCGTACGGCTCACCCGAATGAGCATAAACGGTCCGGAGAAGTTTCCCACGTCGAACCCGAAAAGGCTTCCCAGCTGACTAGAGCCAATGTGGACCGACACTCCCGCCGTGAAGCCGCTCACGAACTGCTCCGAGAGGAAGACGCTCAATCCGCCCAGGTTCAGAATGCCGAAGAACAGCTGCAAGACGCAAGACGACACACAAGAACACCATGGACACAAGACGATTTATTTCTTATTAAACGAAGAATAAAGTATGGTAGAGAACGCATACATTGTAGTGATGAACATGATAGATTGTGGTAACCGAAGTTTCGGTTTCGGTATCAGCTGATGTTTAAATTACGATTGCACAAATAATATTCTACATTTCGCGAATCCGAAGACGTAGAGCTGTTTAGTGGTGCTTTGTGAAATGGAATCACATGTAAGCCCAAATTTTTCGGAATTGAGCGGAGTTGCCCTTTAAATATGATTGCAGGGCCCCTTTAAAGGGCCCTAAATTCAAGACAAAAGCCCATTTTTAGCCCAAAATTTGTACTGCCTCAGTTTTCTGTCATATCCTGTTCTATATAATTATTTGCAAACCTGGAAGATGCCAGCGAAGAACATGAGGGTTGCCGCCACGTTGGCCGCTCCGTACTCCAAGCCGTACTGACCTACCACGGTCCCGGTCATCATGCAGACGACGGCGAAGGCCCCTAGTCAAAGGTACAGATGAACGACCATACTTGCACCATTGGCAAAAGAAAACGCAAAATACAATGGCATTGTATCACCCCTGAGAAGGGTAATCCGCATAAAAACAACTACATGAAATCAGAACAGTGGCTTTTTAAACGGAGATGAAATGCCATTACTTTTACATTGCCTACTAGTTACATATTTATGAATTTTAATTTCACATATCGTGCATTACGTTCATTTAGGGCAGTCGGTATAGGGTGTGCGATGTGGTGTGATGGCCACATCTTGTTCTGGAAAATGGCACTACCAATGGTTAACTAACTGTGTCATGAAATAGGTGAAACAGTAAACGTAAGGTAGTCGCAGAAGTAGTCGACGTCAGCTCCGCCTGCACAACTTGGAGTGGCAGCACTGTTAAAGTACGGTTTTACGAGCAACAAGTTCCCAAACAAAAAGCGCGACATACACTTGTGACACATTTTTAGAGGTTATCAATAAACGCAGTAAGGAACGCTTGAGACTCGAATCATGATCCTGCTGTTTGCTATACCCGACAACTGAAAGGCCTTTACAGAACCTGAAACTGCCTCACTAATTTGTAAGGCAACAATAATATTTTTTCGAGGAGTGTTTTGAATAATGTATTAATAATTAAAGTTAAAGAAATATATCTTTAATAAAATGCACTGATAAACACAATATTATTTTAATATGGACGTTAAAAATAGAGTTGATAGAAGCTGGTACAATGTTGCTTCACATCGCCCTTTTCTACACCTTTTTTAGATCCCTGAACAAATGAAGAGTGCTCCAGAAAACCGCAACTGACTTCACAGTTATAAAGGGTATCTTACTCGAAATACGGGAATTGAAAGGGTGTACACGGATGTAAATCTCTAAAGCACTTTTTTACTCCCTGTAGAGATCTTTATGATTGGGAGGAGAGCGTGTTGGTTCAAGTCATGGATGAAGAAAGAATAAAACATTTAAAACAGGGACAACACAACCACATCTTTCAACTAGCAACAGACAAGTAAACTTTCAATAGCGAGCAGCCGACTATACCCAGGAGGGAAAAGGGGGAGAAGGGGAGAGAAGGGGAGATAAGAAATGCAAAGTGCAAATCGGAGAGATGGGTTTATCTCGGATTTTAGAAATTCAACTTCAGTTTTCGTCAGCAGGAGGGAAGGGTTTGACACGTTGTTTTTTTGTTTGTTTTTTTTGCTTTAGTGCATAAATTTCATCGTGTTATATTTTTGGGTGACAAATCTATGATTTGTCTTGTTTGTCGTAAATTTTTGTTGGTAGGGCTTTAGAAAAAAGAAAATAGCCTTTATAGTTTGCAATTTACAAGACATTAAAAGAAACATTGCACGCATGCGAAGGATGATTTTCTTACCGATAGAGAGCTGCTTGGAAGTGCCGAAGAGCGCGTACATGAGCATGGGAAACATGGCTGTGTAGAGACCATTCACTGCGGGAACACCAGCTAAGATGGCGTACCCAAAACCTGCGGCATAACACACAAAGGTCAGTATCTCCGGCACAATGGTGCTGCAACGTCGAGCCGTTACGAGGGTTCCTGGGTTTGATCCCATGAGCTGCCGTTGCAATCTGGGTCAACACCGTACCCGCGTAAGATCGTGTATTGCTGCTGCATGATTATCGTTAAAGAGCCCAGGCTAGCATTCGTACTGCACCGGCAGAATTGGTCACGTAAGACGCTGATCAATTCATTTATTACTAACTTCTAGTTGCCTAAACGTTTATAGAACAAATTTCCCTTTTCATTTAACATAAATATTAAAAGATTACTAAGCAACATTGGTGATAATCGTAGTGTTGTGTGTATGTGTGTGCTTAGAAAACCGGAAATGAATCTGCACCAGCGGGTGACGTCTTCGCTGTAGATGATAAATTTAGCCAGTGTAGTACGACTGCTTGCCTTTAACGTGAACCATGCTTTTGCGATCTGGTTCACCACCGTACCGGTATAAGATCATGCATGGTTGCTGCGTGATGCACGTTAAAGGCGTGAACCACACAGTAGTGATACAAAAACAAACGCCGGTGCGATACTCATCCAGATCGAAACGGGCAGGGGTAGAGATGAAGCCCAGGATCCCTGGGTTTTGCGGCGCGAGCTTTCGGTACACGTGCTTCGAGCTGCGCTGCGTTACTTAACACACTCGGTCACTAGTTCCCCAGACATTGACCGTCGCCATATTTGGGCATCGCCACTAGCGCGTGGTGTGGGATTGGACCCGATTCCACGCAGAACGCTGACGCAATATTCGTACCCATGAGATGCTCCGAGTAGGGTCGAGGTTAATTGGCGCCGCAGCTGTACCAGGTAGCGCACAATATAGAAAGGTGGTAATTTGTCCTGATTTTCCACTGTTTTTCATTTTCTTATCATTCTCTATTCTTTCTTTCTCTGTACAGGCTGTAAAATATGTACGCGCGCAAAAACTTTTTTTATATTTTTTTTTTTTTTAATTTTGATCGAGTGTCTGCCGAGCACCCCACTTCCGTCCGAGCGTTACAGCCAGTGGGTAGCGTGTGTGCACCCGAGTCTCCGTACAAACACAGCGACGACTCCGTCGCAAAAGGCAAAATTTAAGCTTGAGGACATCCGCACCTAAGAGGCCCTGGACGCACTCTGCATATCGTGCAAGGTCCTGGCAACGGCAGCGCGCACTTCTGAGACTGTCCCTTCTCCACTTCACAAAGGGAGATCACAATCAATGCCCCGCCCGATAATGAAAAGCCAGCGTGTTTCAGAAAGTGGGCTGATGGTTTCGATGGTGCGGTAGGAACACCGAACCATCGAAAGGCAATTCTCGACTCTCTCGTCGGCTATATCAAGTCGGCGGGCACCTTTCATCTCAACAATTTTTTCATCACCCCCCCCCCCCCCCCCCCCCTTGTTCCTTACAGGCATCCCCACACTCTCAGTTTATATCAATCAAGCGCAGAGAGGTCGACCATTTTCCTTTTTCAATAAAACATTTTCTGACTGATCGACATATTTTTAACTGCATCATGTTTTATGCTGAGTTTTTTCTTTTTTTTTTTGTTCCCTGGAAAGTTGTCTGATATTTGCCAGACATCGAAATTCGTCTGACGTCTGGCAGACACCAGACAGAATCTATCGCTCGTTTTCTTCACTCCTAAGACAATTTACTGGATTAACGACTTCGCTTAATTTATATAGAGAGGTTTGGAAACCCAAAGGAAATTATGAAACCATATGCTAAAACTTGAATGGTTTTTGCACATTCATGAAGGCTATATTGCCCCTATAGAACGGGGCAAAGAATATAATGGCCCGTTTACACACTTGCGACTCCTTAGAGCCGAGTGCCCTTAAAACTTCTTAAAATCTCTAACAACGAGAGAACGCCCTGGCACGCTGGCGCCATCTAGCCGTTACCCTGGAGGTGCATTTCACTAGAGTGAGCGTTTTGCGGCATTTGCTAGGTCAAATGTGCATATTGCATATGGAAATTGGTCATTTATAACATTGGTAAAAGTTTTTTCAAGCCAAGGAAGAAAGGATGATGCTCGAAAGAAATGGGAAATAAGTATACGAAACCACCAAGCATTCCACTGTTCCCCGATAGACGGCGCCATTGTGCTCTTTCATATAGAGTAACTGTATATGCTCCTCTACTCTCATCGTAAGAGATTTTAGCTAGGGGTGTCGTGAACTTTTGTCGAACCGAATTTTTAGGTCAAACTTTCGGGGTTCGACGGGGTCGAACCGGTTCGACAAACCTTCGAAACTTTTCATCAGATTCGACCGGTTCGACTTTGTGGACAGTGTGGCCAGACCTTAATACAAGCATGTCTAGGTTTGGAGATTTTTTTTTATACAAAGGGTTTTTTTACTTTATGAAGGGTTGCAATTAAAAGAAACCGAATCTAATCAGTAAAGAAGTTGATAACATAATTTGTTTTGTACCGTATTAACTGAACTAACCAATCAGTGGTGCCCTTAATTCATCCCTTAGCCATCACCATCCAATCCGAAGCCAACTGGCCAGCCTGTCGCGCATGCGCACACGAGTCGAACCTCAATACAAGGTTCGTTGAAATTTCCACTAAAAGTTCGAAAAAGTCGACCCTGGTCGAACTCGAACCTCGGCCGGTTCGCGACACCCCTAATTTTAGCAGGTTTAAAGGCACTGGGTCCTAAGGGGTTGCCAGTTTGTGAACAGACCTTAAAAAGTTAAAAATCACTTCCAAAATAGAAAAGGTTCAGGTATCATCGTGTTCAGAGGCACCGCTTTGTATAATTGTGTTTATTTTAAATAGAGTTTCACCGCATCCAGAAACACGCAATTTCTAAGTTCAAAGGCGGAGTTATTTTTATCGAAAACAAAGTGAAAAAATAACCAAAATTGCAAAAGTATGGTAGTTTAACATACCTTGCGGTTTTTATTAAGTCGTAAATTTATTATTTCACAAAAAAAAAAAAAAAACACGAGTACAAGAAAGCATTCGAAAGAAATTTAGTAAGTTTAGTTTGCTTCCAGTGTGTAAAATTAAAACAAAAAGATATAAAGCATTTTCAAAATTTGGAATTCCAAGCTGTAGTAAATCATTCCAAGAGAACCTTCTGCGCAGTGGGCTGTGGAACGCGTTCTGAACATGCCCAGAAGTAGATTTCTGCATAACGGCATGCAAACGTCACGCATGTGCACACAGCCCGGTGACTCGGCAGTTTTTCACTTGTGTGATAAGCACGGGAAAGATGCATACATTCTGTACCTAACCAACACGTAAGCAAAACCTGTGCTCTAGAATTCCGACGGCATCACACTGAGATCGAGGGACGATTGGACACAAAGGCAGCGTCAGCATTCGCCTGGGACCCATGTCCAATCAACGCGTCGAAGAACGACGCTCGGCATTGGACTCGGGTACAATGGCTGCGTTGGTGCCATCAGACCGTAATGACGTTCCACGAAGGAAGAGAAAGATATTTTTCGATCGAAGTGGTGATCAAACGAAACGGAGGAAACTGTTAACAGGGCATGTGCACAGGTTGATTTAACCCGTAACCGACTCGACCCAAGGCCGAAACCGAAACCCTACGCACGCACTCTGAGGCACATGGAAGATGGCGACTGTGACCCCAGCGATGACGTCAGCGAGCAGGTCCCCCTTGATGCTGTAGTTACCCAGCCAGCCAATTATGGGCAAGAGATCCAAGAGACGCCTCTGGAACTGCTTGGGCTGCGATCGCTTGCGCACCGCGTCCACTAACTTCTCGCCAAACGTTGTCTTGTCCTTGGGGATGCAGTCGAATTCGCTTTCGAAGTGCGGCTGAGTGAAGACCGGCCGTCGTGTGGTGCCGTGACCGTCGGTTGATGATGGCGCGTAGTCATTCTGGTTGCCGTATATCTCCGACTCGCTGAGGCGACGTGCCATGGCGGCCGCCGCAGCTGCTACAAGAATTGACGTGTACCGGACGTTTGTAAGAACAAGAACCGTGTTAGACCTATAGTTACACTAGCGCTCTTAACTGTCTTTAAGCCAACGAGAGTTGACTTAATCGCAATTGGACGGAGTTCCACGGCAGCGCCAACTGTCATTGAGACGCTAACGATAATTGAGTTCAACTGAGCTGGCTTATACCACAGCTAACTGATGGATGTTCGCCCCAATAGAGCTAAAGATGTATGGCCAGCGCCAGCGAAGCATGTGCACTTACTATTGCGGGAAATTGAAGGAGGTATATAGAAAGTATCGCAGCAGCAAATATTGTCGGAAGAGGTACGATTCGTGTCCACAGCTGCCGCTAGAACGATCACGGCACGTCGGAGAAGCCAAATCTCGGCGAGGGTGGCCATTGTGGTGCCGGTGCCGATGAAACTTTCGTTATGCCTCCCTTGCTTGAACTCGTGTGAAACATTCTGATTATCGTTTCTTTAATCTGAAAAAAAAGTTAATCTTATCTTTAACGTTTATAACGGATAAAAATTGTCCTTGTAATTCACTGCATCACTTTAAAAAAAAAAAGTAATGGGACATCAGTTTTGGTTTCGTTTCGGTTTCAACTGTGTCCTGTGACGCGCATCTCAACCGGGTTTGTTAGGCCTATGTGCCGTAACACCGGACGACTTAGTTGAGCTCAGTGGTAGTTGGGAGGTGCCAGTCATCGTTGGCTTAGTGACAATTGAGAGCGCTTGTGTAACTAGGGTACTATTCGGCCCGCGCATGTTACTACGCATTACAGAAATTTCAAACTCCGTAATAATGGGACGATAGCGGTTGAGATAGGACGCAAAAGTGTGAAAAGTGACGTTACCTGGATCAAAAATAAAAGAGAAGGACAGAATTTATTTATGAACTGACGTCCACCTAAGCCTAATATCGTCCAAAATAGAAATTACGCTATGACCACCTGTAGCATATATTCTAAAAACAAAAGAAATTGTCAGCAGGAAAAAAAAAGTCTCTTGCTGACATGTGTTTTTCACTGACATAAATGCCACATACACACTAAACATTATGACACCCATAATCGTGTAAAAAGGGTGTAAGTTAGGAAAAACACCCTTCTTACACTTCATTTACCCGATATTTGAATATCGATGGGTGTAAAAAGGGTGTGCTGATGTTTTTCATCCCTTCCACACCCTTTTTACGACCTCGCTTATTGCGATGGCGTCTGAAATCGTGTAAAAAGGGTGTATGGGCGAATTATACGCCCGGTATTAACACGGTGTGAAAGGGGCGTTATGGTGATGCCAGTCTAATACACCCATGATTTCATATCCGTTAATGCTGATTTCTTTGCTGAAACTGTTGCTGATGTACGGCGGTATAAACATCCAGTATAATTAATCGCTACACGAAGTCGCGTATGGTTAGGAAATGATGGAGTATAGTTTTTGCAACTCCGATCGAACTCACCGTCCGACACGAGGTGAAAATTACATGTCGCGTGTGCGTCAGTTTCATCAGTTCAACTTCGATTTAAAAACAAAACATCTCCACTCGCAAAAGATTAACGAAGACGTGTCAATATACAACCCAAACAGCACACAGCATTGCGCCGATATAGGATCAAATATGAAAAATTGCGCCGTTAGCATTTTGGTCCAGCCAATATCTGTGAAAAAAAAGGATGGGTCGCGGCGACGCCATCCTGACATACCGTAGGCGATGCCGTTTTTAGTTGAGCGTCAAGATTCCCGCATGAATGGCCTATGCCGGCGAGGTATGTCTATTTCTGAACCGCCTAAAATCCGACGTTAAAAAAGAAAAGAAAAATAAGATGAAGCAAAACGGAATCTGCTTACTTTTAACCAGAGAAAGACCTCCTGCGCTGAACCACTGAACAAACTATGGGCCGTGGCGCCCTCATTTCGTGTATTACAAACTCACCTGACTGGCCCTCGCACTACTTATAGCACCTTCACTGAGATTTTATTTTTGAGTGTAGTTCTAACGAAACAATTCCGCAAGACAATCGAAAGTGCCGAATTTATGACACCCCGGCTATAGTACGCGATCCTTAGTTGACACCAAAATATCTAGCCTCCCGACGCTTTTTTTTTCCTTTTTTTTTTTTCTTTTTTCGTACGGGTGAAATTGCATCTCTTGTTTCATGCGTTCGAATTTGTTTTGTGTTATTTATTTCGTGATTTCGCGGTCGGCATCAGAGCACGCACGCCACTGCGTGAAGCAAGTCCTGACGTGTCCCATTTTGCGACCCTCCTTGGGCAGCCCAGGTGGCTTATACAAAGCCGCAGAGGGAGATTAGCTGCTTTGTCCACCCCTCTTCGACCTCGTCTTCTGATAAGCCTCCACACCTTCTTTTGTGTCTTCGTGTGGCTGTGAGCGAGTGCGAAGGCCGCTTCTAGCAAATCAGAGGGGTGGTGTGTAACACGTGACCGTTCTCCGTGGGACAGGGACGCTTGGACTATAATATGTCACGTGACTCGCTCCGACGCGCTGATGGGCTCACTGGGGCCGAAGTCTTTGCCGTATTCCAAATTACGGTGAGTGTAGGGGCCACGTAGGTCCGGTTTCTAAAAAGCTTCCGTCAGGCGTCAGTGTTCTTCTGTTTTTCGTGCGTTGCAGTCGCAGCCGTGGTTTTTCGTCTTGAACGGCCGGAATACGTTCATACTAATTTTTTGGTAATATTTGTGAATTTCGTCGGAGTCCATAGAATTATTGTGCTGTGTTTGTTGGACGCGTTTCGACAAGGAACTAACTGCTCGTCGGCGCTCGTGAGACTTCCGCTGATTGTGATCGACCGCCTTCATCCTCGACATTGTGTTTGCGTAGTTTTGTGCTGCCCTAGTCGGATTGTGCATCTATCACGACAGAGAGCTGCTCATCGGCGACGGCGAGAGTTCCGTTGAATGTGAGCAACCGCCTTCATCCTGGACGTTGTGTTTGCGAATTTTTCTGTGGTGCCCGAACCGGATTATGCAACTATCACGGATTACATGAGATCGGTGTTTTATTTGTAAGTACTCTGCAAGCATGCTTCTGGTAGTAGTCCTGCTTCCGTCTCAATAGACCATCTTACTGTTTACAAGCATGAACTGCTGCTTACGCCTCAATCAACTCCCGGTCGTTCCGTCTCTGCCAGCCTGTCGAGTTTTGCCTACGTCAGCAGAGCTAGAAAGCTTTAAAGTAGGTTTAGGCGAAGGAAAGCCTTATTTAAAGTTTCAGTGCATTTATTTTAAGCCGCTAAGAATTTTGTAGCTTTGTCACAAAAACTTGACACTAGGTCACAAATGCCAGCATTTGAGGTTTGACATGGGTTTCTCGCGAATTCGCGAAAGAAGAAGCTGAGGTCCATGCACGTTTTTTCTGGATTCAAAAAATAAAGTGTTCCACATGTTTCAATTTGTTAGCAATCATTTCTCCGTAAATACTTTTTGATGAAGTGCTGTGTTACACATTTAGTATGACTTCTTGTAGGTGAATGAAGTGAGAGTTACTGCGCAGGCGAGCTGGTGAAGGATCATGGTGAAAAAAACCCAAGACTAGGACAAAAAATCGGGACAACACAACACGTCTCAAGACATTTTGAGGCAGTATTGTGTTTTCCCAATTTTTTTGTCACTAGTCTCGGGGTTTACCCACCATGCTCTTCTAGCTGCAGTACACGTTTTTGGTAGGGTGTACTGCTGCCATCACACCCTAGTAAATAGGTGTAGAGCACAATCACTCCTTTCCGTGTAGGGTGTAAGGGATTACACAGGTTTTTGAGGGAGTGAGGAATAACACCATTTTTCTAGGGCGTTTTTGTACACCAATAAGGGGGTGAGTTGTGACCCATGCCATTTACACCAATAAGGGCGTGAAAATGTTTAGTGTGTATGTTAGCAATCTTGATTCTTCTTTTCACGACATTAGGCTTGAGTGAACGTCGGTTCATAGACAAATTTCGTCTTTCTCTTTATATTTTGATCCAGGTAACGTCATGACTCAAACTATCTCGTTCTTCCCAATCGCTAGCGTCTCACTCGCATGTTTTTATTGACGCGACTATTTGCCCAATTTCCTTGCCCAATGATGGTGGATCTAAATATAGCGTTCTTTAAAATCAATGTTTCTTAGCAAAAAAAAAAATTATTTTCTAGGCCCTGGTTTGGTCAAAGAGGCATGCTCGACGTCCCACCATTGCGGCAAACACCGATTTGTTTTTTGTTCTCAAAACAAAACGAGCCTGTTGACTAGCAGTGAATGTTATTCTTCGCAGTACCTCTTTCGTCAACCATGTTTTTGTGTTTTTTTTTTTAAAGTGAAGCGTTTATTTTCCAATGGAATGAAGCCTCAAAAAGCGTAACCGCGGACTTCCTTGCTGTATGTAGCGGGGAAAATGACGTCACATGGCTTCATGTCACGTGACCTATACACAAATTCAGTTTCGACGCTAAACTTAGCGGAAATATTGCCGTCACGTGACATGGTCACGTGACGGCAATATGGAGATTCAGTTTTTCCTCTAGATTTAGTGTGAAAATCGACGTCCTGTTACCTCTGTACAAATTCAGTTTCCTCGCTAAATTTACCAGGAAAAAGGGAGTCACATAACTTCGTGTCATGAGTACTATACACAAATTCAGCTTCCCCGCTCGATTTAGCGGAAAAATTGACGTCACGTGATCACAACACCAATTCAGTTTTTCCACTAAATTCAGCGGAGAAAATGATGTCACATGACTATGTCACATGACCTATACCAAAATTCAGCTTCCCCGCTAAAACTAGCGGGAAAATTGACATGACGCGACATGATTTTACGTGACCTATGTGCAAATTCAGTTTCCCCGTTAGATTTAAGGAGAAAATTGACGTCACATGAGCTAAACATAAATTCAGTTTGCCGCTACATTTAGTGGTAACATTGATACGTGAGTGGAGTTATATAAGCACCACAACTCCACTAATTCTAACAAACT